ACAGGTGTGATTAAAAAATATGGTGAATGCTGCTGCCAAGTACCATCTAACAGAAAGGTAGGCTCATAAAAAATTATGCTGTGTCCTCATCCACCCTATTCACCAGATCTGGCACCATCCAACTTCTGGGTCTTCCCCAAATTCAAAACAGCCATAAAAGGTAAAGATTTTTAATCAATTCAGTACATCCTACCAGCCACAACAACGTAACTAGACACACTTATAAAAGAGGACTTCCAGAACTGCTTCTGAAAATGACAAGAATGATAGGATATTTGAAGCTAGGAGTATTTTGAGGAGGATTAATGGTAATCTATCTTTTCCTGTTTAATAAATTTTAAAATTTAAACACCATATTTTCTATCACATCTCTTTTTTAAATCACATCTCTTATTACATAAGAAATTAATCATAACAGAGGGGAGAAAGACAGTAACTATAGAGACCTTACAGATCTCATTTGCAGATATAAAAATAGTAATTTACAATAAGTGTGGTATATTCCAGGGATTTTCCCAACCCTTCCCCCAGAATTCTTTATTTTGCAATGCTGGAGATTGAACCTACTGTATTTCCCCCTAAATAAGGCACAGCATGATTTTTCAGGGTGTTTGTAATAAAAACCCCACCAGAAATATAAGCCCCAGTTAAGATGATCAGCTAGCTGGATGCACTAAATCCCAACACATGATAGACATAATGAATTATACAATAATATTAATATATAATTGAATATAAATAATATTAATACTTAAAATTAATTATAGTATAAATTATAATTAAGTATTTGTAAATACCCAAGTGGATGCCTTTGAACAAGAAGTAAATGTTTATGTAAACAGATGAACTCAAGATTTTTACCAAAAGACCAACTGGAGTAGACATAATACATGAATAATGTGTGCACCTGCTAACAAATGAACATGGTTATGTCTCGTATGAATCGATAATTCAATATGCCATGTGTTATAACAGATGTACTTCATGCACTCGTGTGAAATAAAGAAACGTTTTTTGAATTTTGGTGCCTGAAATTTTTCATTGCTTTTATGTGGACCATCATCATTCTGTTTTGTTTTTGTTTTTTTTTGTTTTTTGGGGGGGTTTTTTGGTTTTTTGAGACAGAGTCTTGCTGTGTACTTCAGGCTGACCTTGAACTTACTATGTAGCCCAGGTTGGCCTCAGACTCACAGTGATCCTCCTGCCTCAGCCTTCTGAATGCTGGGATTACAGGCATGCACCACCATGCCCGACAGACGGTCATTCTTAACTGTCATCATTTTTGTTGCTACTCCTATCTCATAAGTCTTCAATTAACACTCAATTTAATGGAAACTAGACGTCATGACTTGGGTGAAGAATTCACGGGATAAAATCACTGCCAACTCTATTGCCAATGCACTACAAGTGGGCTACATGGACAGGAAGTGCTCATTTAAAAAGAGCTCTGTGGCTGGACCTGAGACTGGGATCAATGCTTCTATACAAAATGGAGTTGCAAGAAATTCAGGCCAGAATTCGGGTTCTGTAGAGTTATAACAATGTTCAAGAAGAAGATGACATGACTGTATTTAAATAAATGTAGATTGTTATATATGAATAAACATACAATTCTATACATGAAAGAATAAGACATCCCCTGAAAATCAGTCCTATTGTGTCTTTTCAAGCAAAAATTAATATAAGGCCCGGTCTTATTTTTGGGGAAATACGGTAGGGCCTTGCATTCTAGGCAAGTGCTACTGCTATCAGTGAGCTCGTTTCCAGCCCTCAAAGTCTACTCTTGTAAGTAGTATTATTTATTCTGCAGGAGGAATAAAGAATAACTGATCTAACAAGTACCAATGGTTCAGAGTTTTACTGAAATCTTTAGTGAATAGGGAATTTTACTGCCCTAAAAGAATGGCTTCAACCATTTCCCAGGAGCAATGGAACTCTACAAAGTTTCATTTACGGGAAAAATCTTGTAATCTATATGCAATTCAAGCACCCATTATACTTATTTTTAAACCACACTTATACTTATTTTTAAACCATATGGGTGTGATTAACAACATTTATTAAATAATTTTAAAAGATTAATGGTCTTGACCAGGGATTTAGCTCAGTGGTGCCACCACCTGCCTCGCAAGCACAAGGTCCCAAGTTTGATCCCCGGTACTCAAAAAAAAAAAAAAAATTAATGGTCTCAAAGTAGTTCTGTCATTTTCTCAATCAATACATATTAGAATATACAACTTCAATAACATGAAAGGGACTACAAAAAAAATCGTCTAAAAACTAAATCTTATTGGAAAAAAAAAATCCAAAAAACTATGAATTGTTACTCAAACTAAGAGAAAAAACAAAAAACAAAAAAATTAGTACAAAAAAGTAATCCTTTTGTTCCAAAAAAATGGGAACAACTGTTCTAGAGCTTTGTACATTTCACATACAATAGTCCATATATGATCTTTCACTTTGTAAGAAAAAATTACTGTTCTTTGTGAATTAAATAGGCACTTTTCTCATGCTGCTACTTACGTAAGGGAGAGAAAAGACTTAGGTCTGACTTGACTGTTGTATAACTAACTATTGAACCATAAACAAAATATGTGACTTTTATGAGCTTTGATTTCTTCACTTAAAAAAAACAAAGCTAAATCTTCTTCCCCTAATTACTTCCTACCCACTACATTAAGAACTGTTAGGGGCCAGGGATTTAGCTCAGTGGTTTCGGCCCCTGCTGTGCAAGCGCAAGGACCCAAGTTCGATCCCCAGTACCAAAAAAAAAACTGTTAGAAGATAAAAGCAGAATGAATGTTAAATTATGCAGTATGATATAACTATTACTATATAGCAGAATCCACGAGGTAATGTGTGCAGAAATTTCTAACATAAAGGAACTCAAATGCCAAGCTACAGACTTGATTACACAGGAAATAACTATTAAATCCAGGTGTCGTGACACATGTCTGTAATCCCAGCACTAGAGGAGGGAGAGGCAGAAGGATCCCAAATTCAAGCCCAGCCTTGGCAACTTGGGGACTCACTGAGATCTCATCTCTAAAAAAATACATACATACACAGAACTTTCAAAAGGGCTGGGGAGGTAGAACAGTGCAAAGGCCCTGGGTGCAATCTTCAGTACCAAAAAAAAAAAAAGAGAGAGAGAGATTTTATTAGCAAAGTGTGGTAGTATGTGCCTGTAGTTCCAGCAATCTGGGAGGCTGAGGCAGGAGGTTTGCAATTCAAGCCCAAACTAGACAAGTAGTAATTTAGCAAGATCCTGTCTCAAAACAAAAAACTGAAAAAAAGTCCGGGGATATAGCTCAGTACAAAGGCCCTGAGTTCAATCCTAGTACTGGGTCGGGGGAGATATTGTGGGGGATGAGAAAAAGGAATAGAGCGGGGGGGTGTAGGGTTTTGGCAGGGGTGGTGTGTGTGTGTGTACGCATATATGAACATCAACAAGATAATTATGTGAAAGTACATACAACAGAAACAACCAGAGGCTCAATAATAGTCCACCTGAAAGACAAAAACTTGGGCTATGACAACACCGACAGTAAAAGAATGGGCTGGCTTATGCACTGCAGAAGGATTCAAAAAATTACATGTAACAGTGAGGGGGAAAAAAGTGCCTGAGTTGGTGTGTTACACTCTTGTTGAAATAAGGTAAAAAGGTGGAGGGTAACAATGGAATAGATATCAGAAGACAACAAGAGAAAGCAATTTTTTACAGAGAAGAAAGACATTTACTTTGCCTCTGATTAGCCTAGAGATGCTTATACAGATGTACAGAGGTAGGTCATATAACCCTTCACTTTCAATTTTTGTAAAACTGAGCACAAAAATTTTGTGCTCACATGAAAACTTTAGAACTCAAGGAGTCCATAACATTTAATCTTATGCCTTAAAACTATTGTCTTTATTGTACAATATAGTAACTGACTTCCATCACATTCACTTACGAGGCCAAGAAAAGATCAAGCTGTGTTTAGTATATTCTGTTTAAATTGGCAAAGAAATATGACTTTTCTCAAAATTGCATACTTTAGCACCTAACAAGTTGAATTTCAGGTGTCTGGGAACTATTTCAAGTATTTGGTTCATTTTCCAGAATACCTCAGTGATTAGCATATTAGAGCAGGCATTAAGTCTTATCATTTTACCCAAAAGACCCTACAAACCCCAAATTTTAAAAATGAAGTACTTTCTGGGCCGGCGATTTAGCTCAGTGGTTCTGCCACTTGCCTCACAAGCACAAGGACCCAAGTTCAATCCCCGGTACTAAAAAAAAAGAAGTACTTTATTGTAATAATTCACTAAAGAATAAAGTAATTCTAGTAACTCATTTATCCATCTTACCAAGCCAGGAACCTGGAAGTTACCCCAGAGTCTCCCTTTTTCTAGCATATTAATCATTTACCACAGTTAAAAAGCTCTGAAAAACTGTTCCTCTACCACAATTATGCTTTGTCTATGTATTAAGCCATTAACTAAATTGGCTGTGTCTCCAATTACAATGATCAGATTTCAGCTGATGTCTAGGATCCAACACCTGGTTATGTACTCTGACCTCACAGTATATCATAAGGCTACAAAGACAGTAGGTTGATCAAAAGTAGAACTCACACTCCTTCCAACATAGCTCTAGGCTCTTTACCATGTAATTCAATCACTTGATCTAGAAAAAAATGTGCCGACAGTTATTCAAAAACACTAACTTCTCCCACAATTCAAAAGGTCTGGTTAGATTTCTATACCTTTCTCTGCTAAAAATCTATGTGTAAGAAATAATTAAGTTCTTGGAAGCAAAGAAAGCAAACCCCCTAGTCCCAGTAAAGTAAAATGTTTATATGCTCTTGACTATATTACAAATAAGACAATTTTTAAAAACCCATCCACATATTTACAATGAACTTTTAATGTTTTTATTTAGTTAAAAAAAAATCACTAACTTGGCATTTTGCTCTAGTCTAAAAATACAACAAAAATTTTAAAACCAAAATAATTACCTGAGGAGAGTCAAAAGGATATCGACTACTAAATTTAAATAGAAGTTGAAATTTTTCTCCTTCATATAAGGTACCTGGTGCACCTTCCATGTCTACAATCCACCTAGAGAAGAAAAAACAAATTTAAAACTTAATATAAAACTGAGTAGGGTAAGAAGAAAAAATGGAATCACTGAGATACCAGACTCCAGGACTAGAGTCATATATGTGTAACAGTACATTTCATCCTCCCAACAACTCTCAGAGTAGGTTTTTAATTCCCCCTGCTCTATCCCCATCTCTCATTCAGGGGCTAAAATAACTAGACCAAGGCCAGAGATCTACCAAAAGACAGAGCAAACTTTTAACCTAGGTCTGAAAAGACAAACCGACAAAATAAAACAAACCAACAAAATAAAAACCCAAACTCAGATGTGTTGACAAAGTATATGCTGCATCCTTTGTACCACATTTATGCTCTCTTGACTTTTTTTTCAAAAGACTTTCTACAAGTGTCTAAAAAACTTTATGGATAATATCAAGTTAATCAACCATCATTCTGATGTCAGTGTTAGAAGCAATGAAGAGGTATCAAGAAAGACTACAAAGAATTATGCCTGTTGGATCTGTTTTCTCATGGGTACTATATTTTTAAAAAGATTAAACAGGAAAGGAAGCTAAGTTGCCCTACTTAGTCCATTTCCTCTGATGGCTAAAAGCAAGGTTCTACACTGCCTTTCTTTTAACTCTTACTGTTCCAACTGTTTAACACATTCACAGGTCCTTGAACCACCAATGGTACATGCATGACTGCCCCATTGGGTGGCATGGGACAGTCCTATCAAATGGCATGAGCTGCCCGATGGGACAGTCATATGTGTACAGCCTCATCATGAACATGTTAATAAAGCCCAAAACAGACTTCTATGGCATCTATGCAAGCTTATGTTTTCATTTATAACCATCACAAATATAAATATACTTTTACTCATATTCCATACACTACCCCTTGTTTTTTTCCTTAAAAGAAGGCGAAGATGATATAGGGCTGCATTTAGAAGAAAAAGTAAACTGAGGGCCAGGGATTCAGCTCAGTGGTTCCTCCGCCTGCCTCACAAGTGCAAGGTCCGGAGTTCAATCCTCAGTACCAAAAAAAAAAGTAAACTGAAATCATTAAGTAAGGTTAGGTAAAATACACCCAGATCATAACTGTATAATGAAAATATTTATTTTTGCATTATGGATGCCAGATGTATGTCAGGGGAATACAGGAAGCAATCTTTGTTCACCAACTTGGTTGACAAATGGCAAGGTGTATGTACATGTATCAAATTCTAAATGGGTAAGTTTTACCCACTTTATGCTCTGTTACATTTTTGTGCATTTATAATTTTTTAATTAAATTCTTTGTTTTGATTTTTCTTGTAGAATTAGCCAAATTCAGTACAATGTCACATGAAAAACTGCTTTTACAACTTTGAGAGGAGATTGATAGTGATTCATCAGGTGATTCAGCTACCAATAATGACTTGGATCATAAAAGCCAAATAAGTCGGCTAAATAACTATAAATTTAATACTTTATTTTATTGATTTTTTTCTGTTAAGGAAATATTTTACAACAAAACTCATATAATTAAATAAATAATAGAAATATTCCTATAAATAAATATGGGTTTTAGACACCCACCTCCTGCTCCCTGTCATAAAATTTAGCCTAACACCACGTAAGAATGAGTTCCTAATTATAGGTCTTTCATGTGTAATTTATTGAAGTTAGCCAATTTTTTTAATTTTATACTTTTCAAGTATAAACCTTTCTTATTTCAAATATAGGAAAACAAAATAGAACATAGTATTAGAATTCTAGTCATCATAGTGTAGATATATGAATGTATAAAATAATGTGGGTCAGGGGAATGTAGCTCAGTGGTAGAGCCTTAGATTATAAGGTCCTTGGTTTAAACTCCAGTACTGCAATAAATAATAAGTGCCTATTCCAAGAAATCAGCTAAAGCACACAGATCCTTAAGAGCATGGCTATTCATTTCCAAAACGCATGTTGAATATCTTAGTTTTAAAACAGATACTTACCTCAGCGTTGTTGGAAAGACAACACTATCTGTGCAAAAAACTTAGTACATTGCTAGAATCAGAGCCAGTATACAATAAATCAAATACAACCAAACACTGTGTACAAAACAAAAAACTTACTACAAGTATAGGTAAGTGGTAGAATGTTTGTGTGAGGTCCTGAGTACTATTTCCAGCATGGTAAAAAATATAATCTCTATTCTCTTTACAAAATAGAACCTTTTAAGTCACCAAAATTCTCTTCATCTCATCCCCTACATATCCATCTGCCCACATTCACTAAGCAGAGTTATAGTCTAGTCAGAGGACTCTCTGGTGCTCTCTCAATTCTGTTATATAGCAATTTCTAAGACACGTGACATACTATAAATTTACTTGCAATCTATACAAGCAAAACTTTTAAATAATAGCAAAGTAAATACATCATTTATCATGTAAAATCTGCATACAGTGGTTCAAGCCATAATTTTAAAACATTTTACTAATTTTAAAATGACATGTTCACTGTAAAAACAACTAGAAAAATTAAAAACCACAGAAAGATAACCACTGTTAAAAAGGTTTTCAGGATAAATTCCATTCTAATCATCTGCAGTTTCTTACACCATTAATGCCTAAAGTAGAAATCCAGTAGTTTTATTATGTGTACACTTAAATTATATACATATCCAAACAGGAGACATGAACATGCTACCTTCGCAATCAGTCTCAGTTTTTAAATTCCTGTTGAGTACCTATTACTCTGTAATTCTAATGTTTAAAATTAGAATTTGGTATTTTTTCGTATATCCTGCCTCCTAATCAAAGATAGCTATCTATTCTGCTTGAGAGGAAAAACTGACCTGAGCAGATTAAGAAAGGATACATACCAACATGGCCCTTCTAAGAGATTTTCAAAGGTTATTACACACAATTTTTGCCTTACATGCTGACTATAGATTATAGCTCACATGATGCCATTTCACTGTACTACCCTGATAAACTCTATTACTAACATTTATACAGCTTGCAAATTATCCCCAGAATTAGTAGCACTGAAATGAGTATAGTTGTAAGTCAATTTTTTTTCTGTATCTCTGTTCCTTTTTCAGAAGGGCAAAGGGGTGGTGTATTTACTAGGTCAAGTGATACAGGATTCATATTTTTCAGAAGATTTTTTTAGTTTTTTATTTTGTTTTGTGGTGCTGTGGATTGAATCCAAGTCCTCAAAAATCCCGAGCACATGCCAAACAAAAAAAAATTTAATGCTGTCCTCCTAATGAGAAACATTTAAAACAGCTTACTAACACTCACAGAGCTTGCCTAACATGTGCCAGGCCCTAGACTCAATCCCCAAAATCTCAAATGAAAAAACAGAAGTTTTACAAATTATGGAACAATGCATATGACATAATTAAGTAAAACAGAGTTGATATGTACTGTACGTAAGTACATAGAATTAGATCTGTTTGCTTTAACAACTTATTGGTTAAAAGAACAGAACAAAATATAAAAATTCAGTATTTGTAAAAATGAATATATATATATATATTATGTCAGCAATAAAGAAGTACTTTAAAAATTAAATACTTACTGTGTGATTGAATTTTGAACACTCTTTTCATTTAAAGTCATCCCAGGAGGCGGGTCATTCTGCAAAGCCAACAGTTCTTTCTGAAGTCGTTTCTAGAAAAGGTCATCAGTAATTAATTTGCATTTTTTATTTTTTAACAACATATCTTTCCAGTTATATAGTCTTAAATTACTGATGAAATTTCCTCCAAATATTTTTTACTTTACAAGCCCCCTGTATCATATATTTCTAATTCTCAAAATTTAAAGTCTATCCTACAATTCATAATCTGTCAGACTGTTTCAACACTGATGCTGTAAAGTAGGTATGAAAACTAGCCAGTTACCTACAAAACATCGGCTCCTTTAAGACTTTATAGCTACCTTGTATGTCATAAAGTACGAAGAGTCCAGATTAAATGTGACTAAGTTTTACCAGTGCTTCACTTGTTGTTTTCCAATTATAAAAACCATAGTTCTCCATAATCCTGAAAGAATGTCACTTCAGACACAGAAGCTTTCCAGAGAACCTATAAGAAGTAAATCTTCATGCTAAAATCTTTCTGAAGTTTTAAAAAATAATTTTAATTTACATTCTAAGAGCCATACTTATTTTCTTAACTAGAATCATTTGTGCATAATTTAATCTTTAAAGGATTCTGTTACAATTTATTTATTGTAAAACATCAGAATATCACAGTGGTGGTAAACCTATGCCATGCACGCCAGAATTCAAGAGTCCTCTTCTTAAAAACTGGCTTCTGGGCAGAGAAGCTCAGCCGGTCCCAGCACCCGCAAGAAAGCTCCCCCGCCGCCATCAGAGGCTCCTAGGGCAAAGAAGGTGAGCCGGTCCCAGAGCCCAGAAGGAAGCTCCCCACCTCCATCCCAGGCTCCTAGGGCAGAGAATCTCAGCCGGTCTCAGCACCCGGAAGGAAATTCCCCGGCTGCCATCCCCGGCTCCTAGGGCAGAGAAGGTGAGCTGGTCCCAGCACACAGAAGGAAGCTCCCCCATCGCCATCCCAACCTCCTAGGGCAGAGAAGGTGAGCCCCATGGGCGCCAGAAGCACCCCCCCCACCGCCGTGGAAATGAGAAAACACATAAACAAGCCTCAAAAACAGAGTTCCAGATCACTTACAGCAACCACAAAGGGAAATGAGATGGAACACTCTGATACTCAACCACCTGGACTCCCTGAACTGGCAACAAAAGAGGAT